TTAGTCTATGTAGAGCCAGTCTTCTTTCAGCTCGGATGAACGTCTACGGTTGTTTTGAACAATGTTGTTTTGATACATATTCTTCGATTCGGTTTTTTTTTTATACCCAACTTATATTTCGGTCTTGTCATTTGTGATGGGGATAATCAGTGTACATAAGCTCGAAAAGAACTAACTAGGTGTTTACTGAAAGCGGACTTGGAAGCAGTTGTGGAGTATCGTCGAACTTCCGTACGAGAGATGGAAGCCATCAACAAAATATCGTGGATAGGTATTGGGCTGTTTGGAATTGCTCTAATTACTAAAGGTAAGAAAGTTAAGCGGCGATTTCTTTGTTGCTGTGTAGGTGAGCTCCTAAGCTTTCCGATAATCTAGATCACGTATAAAATTGTAGAGGAGAAACTATCTCTGAGACGATTTTATGAGAAAATATTCGCTGAGGCAATATTTGCACCTGCTGTAAAACGCCATAAGGTTACTTCCCACCTTCGCGGGTGTCCTTCCATCCTCGGAGACCCAGGGGCTGTGAGTCGATTTCAAGTTAAGGGCAGAAGAGCCCCTGGGGACATTGTCTTACAAGACTAGTTCCAAACGGTCGCAGTCGTTCTGGCATCTGATTGGTGCCAGAAAATCTTTGTGTTTTTCTGCCCAATCAGAGTGAAGTGTCCTTTGGAGTCCTTTCGTGTGTTTTAACACGCACATATACAACAAGCTCTGTTGCTCGCTATGTTTGTTTGGGCCGTGCGACGAAGCTTTGCCCGAGGTGAAAAGTTTCAGTCTCAGCACACNGTCGATTAGATACAGGTAGAAAGTCGTATGGAGCATCTTTAATCAGTGAGGGCAGTAACGTTACCCAAGGCAGCCCATCTCCTGGATTGAACCGAGAGAATATAAACTGCAGTTTATAATTAAACTTGGTCAAATTAACTTGCTGAGACTTAATCTAGCCCTTTCAAACAAAATGGGACAAAAATAGTCGATCGCTGATTTTACGCTTGCGTACACATCTTTCTTTTGTCTTTCTTGAATCATACGGTCGATGTGTTCGCTCCATTAATTTGAATTCCATCGGAGATGCAATCTCTTCTCGTAGCAACGGTATATCTCGATACTATTGCCCTCGTGACTTCTTTTTAACTTCTTTTATCGAACACGGGTAGACCTCATTAGTTTGTATCGAACATGATTGAAGTTGTATCGAAACGTCTTTATACCTTTAGCAAATCGACTTTGTTGATATATCAATTCGACCTCATTTAGTGTCGAATTGTATGTATAGAACAATTTTGTATCGAATTCGAAAGGTCATTGAATTCTGGGATCGACACGGTGCAAACATTGCAGCCCGCTATGACTGCCTGCGATGAAGAATGGCAGTTTCAACGTTCAAAAAAAAAGATTTCGGAGACAGATTATCGCTTTTCACCTCTGTTTTATAAGAAATTGATTAGGATAATGTTGATTTAAATGTAGTGAAAGTTTTGTTTGAATAACTATGAAATCTGTGGCAAAATTGACCGATTAACTTTTCTCCATTCCTAAGGTTTGTTGTGAAACTGACATCGCGTAAAGGTCATGAAAAATAGAAATATTGGCTATAAATCGCAAAGAAATAACTCATCAAAGCGTTTTCACTCCTAGCGCTGTCGTGGCTTAGTAATTTCTACAAAAGAGCGGTAAAACAGCTACCTCGAGACAGCTCGAGATTGATGTTAGTGTGTTAAAGCATCAAATATCATGTGATTCATGAAAGTGATTAAACACCTACGTTGGTTATTTGTTTTTGTTACAGTACGGAGATGTTCTGGACTGTCCGTTTGTTGTGAGCCCGCGTAGTATGCAGCGGTAATCTTACCATGTGCTCTTATCAATATAATCTTGCTATTGACCCGCCATCTTGTGTGTGTGTATACTCTTCTGCAACCCCAAAAACATAACAGTTTTGTTCTATGAGAACGAACCAGCGTTGATAATCGGTTCCAAACTTGACCTTTTCTTTTGCGATGAAGAATAAGTACAAACGGGTCGCTGAAGGAGCGATGCACGACTGAATACATGTCTACAGTTTCCGTCGGAGTTCCCGTGATCTTGCTTTTCCTGACAAGATCCTCCAAGGAGCTCGAGGAGAAAAATGGCCGCTCAAACACCTTTGGATTTTTTTTTTTTTAACAAACTATTACTTGACTCAGGGGTGTCCTCGTGTTTTTCATCGCTTATTCCATCGTTCCAAAGAGCAACAGCTCGGTTAAAAACACTTCCATCGCCGCTGACGACTTCTCTCTCGGTCTGGTCGTCCACATACGTATCTAACTTAAACAGAATTTATTAATTGCAAAAGCGAGCTGTGCGGGCTATCACCAACTTAGACTATCGAGACCACTCTGCCCCTTCACTCTCCAAACTAGAAATTTTAGATATTTTCCAAGTCAATAGATTTGAAATCGCTAAATTTATGTTTCATTTCAAAAATAACTTATTGCCCCCATTGCTTATTGATCTTTTTGTAAGGAATAGCCAAATTCACAACTATGGTACCAGAACAGCCAGTAATTATCGAACGCATTTGTGCCGTACAAATGTCAAGCAGTTTAAAATTCTATATCAAAGTCCTAAAATTTGGAACTCTCTCCCTATTTCAGTCACTCGTTGGTCAAACTTTCTCAGCTTTAAAGCGAAATTGCAAGAGTTTTTACTTAAATAATCACTGAATTGGCCAAGCCACACATTCGCAGCACTTTTTCTTTACTTAATTTATCATTGTAAGTGAGGTGGCTCTCCCATAAGCCTGGTGGCTTCTTGGGTCTCCTCGCCTTCTAACTGTTATCGCTGCAATTAACTATCTTTTAATTGTTAAAATGAGGCAAATAAAGATGATGATGATGATGAAAGGAGGTATATGTTTCATCGACTCGTTTCAGACGTCGTACTTTGTTTATCCAATACGTCAACAAGAATGAAAACAGGCTCTGCATATCTAGATACGTCTGAAGAAATTAAAGAAATTATTTCCTAGCGATTTAAGCTAAATTTTGTGATATGTCAAGACCATTACGAGATGACGATTTCATATTTTCATAAGTTGATCGCTCTATTTTACAACACATTTGGTGGTTATTCCAACAAAAACTAACACCTACCTTGTATTAACATAACATTAATCCATTTATGATAAAGCAGCGGCGAAAAAGCGTGGATCTCTCTCCAATATGGTTTTCTAGACGTCGCAACAACCCTTCCCCATAAATTTACTTCCAGCAAATAGAATGTTCACCCTATGGTGATCCCAAAAATCTCTAATCAATCGCAATGATCTGATTACTGGCAACTCACTCATTATTTAATTGAGTGATGAGAGTTTGAAATCAAATCAAGGCTGTACCTTCATTCTGTCAACGTGCGCGGGGCGATCTGCTTATTGTTGAAAGGTTAGGAGGGTGACCAATCAACAGCCCGACATTGGTAAGAAACACAAAAGCTCTCATGGAAAACTTAGCTTGGCTTTTCACATTATCAGATGTTTACAAATTTGTGGAAATATGGGACAAGCGACATGCTCTCGAAATCCTGTCTATTATTAATAATGTGTTTAGAGATGTGAACAAGGGAAATCAATCACATCTCTTGCCTGCTGACAATGATGATGACAATGTTTTTGATGATGAATTGCTGGATGAGTGGAATGAGATTCTTCAAGTTGACAAACTTTTTGAATTGATTGTTGACAATTTGTCATTGTCCCAGCTTCAGAGTTCTCTATTGGAAGAAGGACATGTTTCGCATGAGTCACTAGAAGCTGGTGTGCCATCAGCTGGTATTGAGGGTTTAGAGACAATGAACTTAGAACATTAGTTCACTGTATTTTGTTAAATTGATTTTGACTGTCATCGAGTCTCTTTAACTGCAGTTTGGACATATGTGTGTTTTTATGCAAATGTAGTTGGTATAATTTTAGACTGTTTGAAAATTACTTGAATCAAAAAGGTAGTAGGCTGGATTTACACAGTAGTGGTCTGTCCACAGCTGTTTCTTTTTTCATCCCTAATTTATAAGTGAGCGAGTGAAACAAGTGCACTAGAATGAATGCAGTGACTTGTCATTTGGAACAGTTACTTTGGAACAGGCTAAAGGACCCCCCCCCCGTGTTTACACTTGTTCTATTTCTCATGGTTTTTGTTCTTAGAGAAAAGACATGCATGTAGGTCTGTGAACAGACCATGTTTTAGTGGTTTGTTATTCTTGTGGTCATTCAATTATAACTGATCTAAAAGCAATGATGTGGCTCTATTTCATTCTTGTCGCCAGGAATAGTTACTCTTACATGCATTTAGCCTTTATTTGGGGTTGTTACACAATACTCCCTCCCAAAAGCATGGATTTCATTCCATTTTATTGTTGAACAAAACATGGTAATTATCATATGAGAAGCAAATGCATACCTTTTTTTGGTTTTTTGTTTGTTTCAGAGGCACTTCATACAAGAAATATGAATTGACCCATTTCCAACACATATTCATCTAGCTATGATGCCCCAAGTCATAAATTTCTTGTGCATACTGATCCATTCATACACTTTTGAAGCATGAGAGTTCTCAAGTCTTTCTTTCTGAAAATTAGAGAAATGCTTGTATTTCCTCCCCTCAAGTTCTGTGAAGATGTCAAATTGTATTGCTCTCTTTACTAATTCATCAAGATCCCTAGCTGTTCACGATTCAGCATGTTTGCCTGACTTTGTTGTTCGCTTGATGGTTCCATCAAGATTTGCAAGGAGTGATCTTGAAGAATGTTCAGCACGACACAGTCGCGAAACAGCTTTCTCTGTCACATTATTTTGATTATTTAATTTTTTATTTTTTATTTATTTTTATTTTATTTTCACATTATTTTATTTTGATATTTTGATCTGCTTCCTAATTTTCGCGCGAGAAAATAAATTTATTCAAGGCTCTACTATAGTATGAGAGGGTCTGGATTGAGTTTATTTCCTGTCAACCATTGCTGAATAAGGAAGACAAATATGGCGACAGTTTGAAAGTTTCACAGAGGGGTTTTCTTTTAACGCTTTCCCTTCTGGTGCGTTCTCAAGGATGGTCTAAGATCACAGACTCCACAGAGCAAAAACAGCAATTTTCAAGCTCTTTTGGAAGTATCTTATTGTCAAGAAATGTCTCTTTTTATGGACGATTTGCTTACTTCGAACTTCCCTTTATTTAATGCGTGTCGGAGCTAGTTGACTTCTTGGAGGGTTGCTCCTCAAATCGACGATCCTTTGCCATGGATTACGCTACATTTGAAACAGACTAGAGGTAATGACTAGCCTCCAATATCTAACATTGCTGAAAGTAAGTAGACAAACAACTTTTGAATTATTTTTATGCTAGAAGTACAACTTAATCTCTACTGAACATGTTTTGAGTCGGAGCTAGGGAATTCTCTGACTCGTATTTGTTGTATTTTGGATTTTTGTGGAAATCTTATACATTTCCTTACACGATTTCGCCGCCTTTAACTTCTCAATACGCACGCGCTTCCGGCATTTTGACGCAAATTTCTGGCAATGCAGCTCGGAAACGCTTGCTATGCAGGCTACAGCTACATCGATTCACCCACCGAGTTTTCCTGAATTTGAACTTTAGCTAAGGCAAACTGCTCTAACCTGATTTGAGAGGTGTGCGTCGCAAAAAAGGTGATGAAACTACATTAAATTCATTTGGTGAAGAAACCTGTGACATCTTTGAAAACCTAATCGTTTCTGAACCACCTGAAGGAAGGGACGAGTACAGAGTTGCATTGAAAGCGCTGATCGAGTGATCATTTTGAAGCGTAAAAGTGCGTTGGCCATCATGTTTATGTAAGGTAAACTGCTCTAACCTGTTTTGAGGGGTGCGCGTGGCAAAAATGGTGATGAAATTGCATTAAATTCATTTGGTGAAGAAACATGACATCTTACGAAAACCTAATCGTTTCTGAACCACCTGAAGGAAGCGATGAGCACAGAGTTGCATTAAAAGCGCTGATCGAGTGATCATTTTGAAGCGTAAAAGTGCGTTGGCCATCATGTTTATGTCTTTCGCCTGGTTACACAAATATCTGGCCAACTACAATCGTATCCGTCAGCTGGCTTGAAAATAAAACAGTAGACAATCGAAGGCACCTCATCGCTTCGTCTTTCGAGAAAGGCTATCGAACAAAGTCTTGGGAGACTTGCTGAAAGGCGCACGTGTGATAGCAACTGCAGGTAAACAAACCACCGAAATGGGGATAAAAATTAGCACATGCATCGGGCAATCAGGTCGGGGAAGAATAAACATTGATCAGTGGGGAGATGCCCTTTCCAGTGACCTACAAAGTCTGAATATAGCCAAACAAAGCCAAATGGCTGTAAAGTTTTCACTTAAAACCTGATTCAAGCATATCACCAGATTCCACCTCACCTGACTCAACAATGACCTCTAACACCATTCTCAACTTATGTTGGGTTGTATGGATATAAGCATATAAACTTTGCTATTTAATGCACTGGAACGATGTGATGGAGCATCAGGATCAATCATGGCCACATTTTAATGAATCTCTGTTTGCTTTACTAAATATGTTGGTCAATCTAAGCCATCCTCAGTCATCTCTTGAGAACTTTACAATGTTCTTTGCACTTTCTTGAGTACAGAATTCAAATTCAGCTCGAAATTTTACTGTATCCCCAAACTAGTGGTTTGATACTCTACCTTTAATTGCTTGTAAAAATGTACTAAATTCCATTATGTATGTGTAAAGCAGAATTTAATTTAATTTGTTTCTCCTTCCACCAAACTTATCTATATGCTAATGTTTATAGATTGTGGAGATAGATCTGGTGAAAATCTTTGGAGGATCTTTAAGGATCTTTAAAGATTTTCATGAGGACCTTTGAGGATCCTCCTAAGGATCTTCATGAAGATCTTTGAGAAATCTTTGAGGATCTTAACAATTCTTGTTGTGATCTTCAGGAATCTTTTATTTTCTTGCCAAGATCCTAAAGGATCTTTTATTGTCTTGCCAAGATCTTCATGGATCTTGCATTTTCTTGGCAAGATCCTCAAGGATCTTGCATTTTCTTGCTAGGATCCTTAACAATCTTGCATTTTCTTACCAAGCTCCTTAAAGGATATTACATTTTCTTGCCAAGATCCTTAAAGGATCTTGCATTTTCTTGCCAAGATCCTCAAGGATCTTGTATTTTCTTGCCAAGATCCTTAAAGGATCTGGCATTCCCTTGCCAAGATCCTCAAGCACCTTGATCAGTTGCAGAATCCAGGGTAGCAGAGCATGATTTAGCACGTAAATATTAATTAAAAAAACGTATTTACAATAAAACGTTATAAAACTAGTATGTCCTGTTAGAAAAAGTAAAACTCTTTCTAGTACACTAAAAATCGCGTGAATAAAGCAAAATCTTATTTTTTATGGATTTTAGTATTCTGGAAATTGGCATGAATTCCAGTGTAATGTGTAACATAATTCAACAACACACCATACATGTTCGAAAATTTCTTACATAAAAAAAATACAAATTTCAAATAATCTTTGAAGTTAAACTACACCAGAAATATGGATTTATGAATGAAGTAAGCAAAATCTGTAAATTGATTTTCAAATTCAACGCTATCAAGCAAAATTCTTGAAGTAGTAATATGTAACGCTGTTTACGCAAAATTGCACTATACTTCGAAAACACCAAGATATTGCCACATCAGAAGCACAAATCAATATAAAAAAATACATACAGTGATTCTCATACAATTTATTTCTGTATACGAAGTTTTATTCACTTTACTACAAAAACGGCAGCAATATTTAAAAAAAAACAAATTACGAACACATCGAATGCACATTAAATTTACCTTAAAATTCTTCAACCTCATCTCCTAAAAGGTCTATGATAGCCACACACAAAATTAAATTGCACTTCAAATATCAGATCTGTCATTCTCATATTGCACACCTTCCTTCGGTACTAAGTATCCCCAAATCTAAATCGGTTTAACATATAAACTTAGTCCTTTTCTGAATCGCGAACACAATCTTCAGTCAAAGAACTGTACAATGGGCATTGATGTATCAGTTTATACGCAAAGTAATCCCGGACCTAGAAATATTCGCTCTGAAATTGTGTTTCTTCTTCACTTATTATCCCAACAACAACCGAGGTAGAATATGTCTAGAGGGGTATAAATCAATAAATTGCTAACCCCTAAACAGTAGATCGTTTGAGACTGGAAATTACACTGGAAATGTGACTCAATTGTGTGACTTTTTCACCCGAGATTTTACACGCTTCGCTTGCGAAATTTTCAATGGAAAACAAAAAATATTCTGCGGATCAATGGAGAAAGCAACAACAAGAAAAGAAACAGAGACAACAGAAGGAATACTATGAAAGGAACAAGGATATTCTTGCACAAAAAGCAAGAGAAAGAATGCGACTGTACTGTAGCAAGAAAAAGCACGCTGCAGTTCCCGCTGTGGAAACCCGGGCAGCTGTACAAAAAGTTCGAGCACAAGAGAGCCATAAAGGAGCGGAATGCTGCGGCAACTATTTAGAGTCTCCAGTAGAGGTGCAATTATCCTAGATGATGATAAGGTGGATGACTACAATGCTGCCTACCAAAAAGGGTCTTGTTTTTCAGGGGAATTTTTTCCTCAGGGATAATATCATTGACATGACTTACAAACTTGACAGCAAGAATGCCATTGTGTATGCAAACACAGTGAGGTCCATATGTGGAGATTTAAAGCAAATAAAAAGGCACAAGAATATTCTATTTCAGCTTTTGCCTAGTCAGCTGAGGAGATAATGTCATCTTTTTAAAACAATATTTCAATTCCTGTAGATAAACATTAATTTTAAGTATTTTTCAGCAAAATTTCACAATATGACACCTGCAATGCACTATGGGTATTATGAAAATGTGTTTTCCTAATGGATTATCTATGAAAATTGATCAAAAAATTATTTTGTATGGTTATTTTATGAAGTACTTTGATATTGTGATCAATAAAAAATGGTTTTGTGAAAGTTTAAAAATTTTGATTTTACACTATTGTATCCTTGGATTGTGCAACTGATTCTTGCATTTCAGTCTTGCCAAGATCCTCGAGGATATTGCATTTTCTAGCCAAGATCCTTAAAGGATTTTGCATTTTCTTGCCAAGATCTTCAAGGATCTTGGATTTTCTTGCCAAGGTCCTCAAGGATCTTGCATTGTCTTGCCAAGATCTTCAAGGATCTTCCATTTTCCTGTTAAGATCTTGGAAGTTCTTGTCCAGATCTTCAAGGATCTTGAAAAGATCTTGTCAAGAATTTCAAAGATCCTTTAAAGGTCTTGGCAAGAAAATAAAAGATCCTTGAAGATCTTGACAAGAAAATCCATGATCTTTGAAGATCTTGGCAAGAATATAAGAGATCCTTGAAGATCTTTTAAGAAAAGAGATCCTTCACAATCTTGGTAGTTCTTGTTAAGAATTTGAAATATCTTCATTGTTCTTTCTTAGATCTTTGAGGATTATCAAAATTCTTGTTAAGATCCAATTATCCTGCCAAGATCTTTGAGAATCTTCATAAGTCTTGCCAATATCTCTTGTGGTCTTTAACATTCCTCCCAATATCTTCACAATTCTTATAAGATCTTTGACAAACTTCCAGAGAACTTGCAAGGGAAACTCAACAACTTTGCTGCAAATATGTGAGGATATTCAATAAACATTCTTTATAGTAATGATAAGCATCAAATCAATTAAAAACTGTGGAAATAATATATTTTTTTTTATTATAACTACAAAGAGTTATTATATGAACCAATGGTATTAAACAAAAGACGATCAAAAGGAAAGAAAACCTATGCAAGGAAAGTTAACAATTCAGTAGTTTGTGTAGCTTTACAATACAGTGATGTCTAATAGCAAAACTCTGCGATTTTCTTCTTATAAAATAAACAAATATTTATAGGCATAGCAATGGATGCAAGTTATTCAACAGTGTTGTAAATAAGGAATAATAGTGTAATCAATGTAGAGTTAACTAAACAAATATAGCTTCTAATAGGAGAACTATTTTCATGACAGTAGGAAATGTAGAAAAGAAAATTAAAACTTGCTGTAAGTTGTTCAATTGAAAGATCTTAGTCAAGATTCATGTATGCTATATTGTAAGATGTTTTTAACTACGATAACTTATATCACCCTGCACAGGATATCCTGCCAGATACAAATACTCAGCCTGCAAACATCTACTATAAGTCAATTTGTGAGATCCAACAAATCAATCCAAAATTTAGTCATGTCAAGAAGTTCACTAGAAATTTAGAGGTAGCCTCTTTATGACACTCTGATTTATTTCTTATCCTGGTAATCTTTCCATCCACTAATTACAGCATTTTGATAATTCAAAGTTAAGTATACACTTGTCACAAGAGATTTTTTTTATGCACACAAAGGTCTTAGGTAATTAACTATCTGCTCTGCTCCCTGAAGGCCAACCTTTCTATTGTTGGTGATCTGACTCACACTGCTTTTCAGAGTGAAAGGTATTCTTATTACTTGAAATTTGGGGATACCACAGTTGGAAAACAGTGGTTAGAAATAAGTTACTTCACTGCATACAGCTTTGATCGTATCATATTCCAAAATGGTGAGTTACTTGTTACAACTGGTGATTTTGAATGAAGTAAAACCGTAAAAAAACGACAAGAAAAAGGAATGAGAAGGCATACAAATGTGGGCCTAAGTGCCATAAATTTACTTTTAAAAGTTTGACAAGGGTGGTGCTCTTTAAAAGGGAATATTTGAGCTGATAATGCAAAACAATGAGAGAAAATCTCAATGAAAGTGTAATGTTTCTGAATCTTGAGGTTTTTTTTCATTGAAAGTATATATCTGACTACCAATGTCGTACAAACTTCTTGCAGGCCTCTTGATCTCGATCCATACATCTCTCACCATCCCCATAATGATCTCTATCGATAAATCCATCAATGTTTCTTTGAAATATGTCTTGGCAATGAAATGGACATTAAAATGTTTGTTTCCATTGATAAAAGTGCTCATGAACTGCTTGAAATCAGCAAACAAAGCCCCTTGTGAAATGATTCAATGGTCAAATTCAAAATGGCACCTTGTCACAGCAAACGTCAAATGACAGAAAAAAACACTGCTGACCGCTTGTTTGATGCTGGTGTTTATGTATGCCAATACCAAATTAATAGTCGGTTGTGCCTTTATTTTTATCTTCACTAATAGTCGGTAATTGTTTTAGTGCCAAATTACCGAGGAAATCAAAAATGAAGATCAAAATTGAAGCTTTGCAAGGAAGTTAAATGTTTCCATTTGTTTATTTTTGGTTAACTTTTCCCCAAATGTCCTGAGCACTAAAAAATGGTGGAACCTCTAGATTCTTGTGACCTGCTAATGGTTGCTATTATTATTATTGCCTTCTATACAAAACTGAGGATTTGATAAGGATCTTACAAAGATGTTGTGATCTTTGCTAGAATCTTCAGATGTGTTTTTTCGAGCCCTTGGTCCTAACCGAAACAATTACAAAGAACTACAGCATCTATCAAATATAATAGCTGGACGGATGTATACAAAATGAGTTTATGGGAGCACGATAAATACGAGTCCATGTTTTTCATACCCTGACCTCCAGTAAATTTTCATATTAACCGGAGTGATATCCTTTTCAAAAATTAGGGGTGGTCCATGGATCCCGGTCCATGTTTTGTATACATCCGTCCAGCTATTATATTTGATAGATGCTGTATTTTTTTGTAATATTATTGTTTCGGTTAGGACCAAGGGCGCGAAAAAACACATCTTTGAAGATTCTAGCAAAGATCGCAAGGTCTTTGTAAGATCCTTATCAAATCCTCAGGGATCCAAGCAAAGGTCTTAAGATTTTTGAAAGCATCCTTTTAAGACCTTGGAAGATCCTCATTTTTTCCTTGAAGATCTTTAAGTAGCCTTACAAAGATCTTGATATGATCTTTGAAGGGATATCCTCTGAGATCTCTAAAAGATCCTCATTTTTTCTTCAAACATCTTGAAGGATCCTTACAAAGGTCTTGGAAAGATCTTGATAACGATCCTTGTTAAAGTTTCTCATTAAATCCTTGAGGATCCTAGCAAAGATCTTCAAAAGATCTTGGAAAGGATCCTTTTAAGATCTTTGAAAGATCCTTGGTTTTTCTTCAAAGATCTTGTAGGATCCTAATTAGAAAGATCTTGGTAACGATTCTTGTAAGATCCTTATTAAATCCTTGAGGATCCTAACAAAGATCTTGTTATTAGATCCTTGATAGGATCCTTCTAAGATCTTTGAAAAGATCCTTGTTTTGTCTTTGAGGATCTTTGAAGGATCCTGACAAAGAAATTTGCTAGGTCGATCTTTACAAGGATCTTTGTAGGATCCTTGGAGGATCTTCCTTAAATCCTCGAGGATCTTATCAATTTATTTTGCATATAAAGATCTTTGAGGATCCTTCAAAGATTCTTCTAGGATCCTTTCAAGATCCTTGTCTTTGAGGATCCTTGACAGATCTTTGACAATCCTCAAAGATCCTTAAAGATCCTGTGAGGTTTTTCACCATGGTCAGACAGTTCACTGTACTTGTACATTAACAAAAAAATAAACTTGAATTGAGTATTAACTCTGAATGAAATTTCTTTTTCAATTTGCAGATCTATTTTGGGCAAGAAATGATAAGATAAGATTAACAGAAGGCAGTGTCATTACATTACACCAAGGAAAATTGACAAATTCCCGTCGCATCCACCCTATTCCTCAGTTGGAGTGTGTTAGTGGCTGTTCAGTTTGTATATCTCTTAATGGGATCATTTACTGTACGTGGGGTCTTACTCTAAGTGTTGTCCAGTGTTACAACCAAGGGTCAGATGGCTTTAATTTTCAGGTAAATTGTAATAGAAGTTTAATTTATAGTCATGAAGGTTCTGTGAAAGAAAAGTATCCTTTGTTAACTTCTGATTTGTAAACTGTGATACATTTTTGCAGTGGGAATGCCATGCAGACATGGGCACCTTCAATGGACTTCAGGTATATAAGTTTGGAACAGTCGAGGTTAACTGTGAAGGTTATGACTATCCTGAGGATCCATTCATTCTCAAAGATTCCTGTGGGGTACGTATATGTGCATGTGAGATAGTCTATTACATACAATGTAAGCCCACTGGCTTCAATGTTTTCTATTTATTGCATTTACTGATGTTTATGGATGTGGTGTAAATTCAATCGACTGGAACTGAAACTGTATCTTAAATTATGAACAAAAATACATTGTTGTAACTGTTTATTTATCTAACCGTTAATATACATTGAAGAAAGACAGGGAGTGAAAGGATGGAAAGTTTTTTATACCTTTGAAATAAGAAAGATGTGAAACATCACTCACAGTCATAGGATAAAGAAATCAATGTACAATCCATGTGAAGGTTAACTCAAATCTTCCAATTTTAAAATTTGATTCCTTTAATTATACAAACTCTCCAACTGAGAATTAAGTTGTTAGCAAGCTTAAGGCCATTTATTATTTTCCTTAGTCGGTGAAAAGTGTTCCTCATTGTGATAGCTGTTCAGCAATGGCAGAAGCTCTCTGTACAGAGTAAGAGTAGGATAGAGTCAATAGAAAGTTGTTAAAAACATTTCATTTGTTTAAATTTTATTTGTACAATTCTCATGACAACTGTTTCACATCTTCCTTTTTTGACAACCAGGCTTAAAGTTTAACATCTCTCTTGTTATGGCACAAATTAGATTACACCTTTCAGGGTACATGTATGGGGTTGGTTCTTCAAAAAGGCAGGTTCGAATGACATGATGCAAACTTGCACCACAAAACCATACAATTACAGCCAAGGAAGTCACTTGGAACATTTCAGCTAATTTTGCGGCTGATGTGGTTTCAAGCATCCTTTTTTGTCACCTTAACTTGTATTCCTATGAAATCTATTAATCAGGATTTTAATTTGTTTTGTTTTGTTGTTGCAGTTGAAATACACTGTTGTTGTGGATAGTGATGTGCGGGAAAGCTTGCGGGAAAGCTTGCGGGAAAGCTTGCGGGAAAGCTGGAAGAGAAGGTGCCCAGAATTCGTGCAGGAAAGGCCAACCACATGGTTGACTGATTGGTGGTATGTATTTTATTTAATAATAATGTATTAATTTTTTTCCTGTCAGGTCCAGCAAAGGAAAACTCATTAATTTTTTTTTTTTATTACATTATTTTCCCCACTTATAAGTGCTACCTATTAATCATCTGATTTTTGGTATTGTACATTCATTTGAGTGATGAACCATTGCGTTTTGTTGTGATAATTCTAAGTACTCAATGCTTTGTTTTCTGTAAACAACATATGTGAAACTGTTGACTTATTATGTTGTAAGACTGTATACAAATGAAAGCAGGCTCGTTTTGCCATCATACAGTTACCTGATTAAAAAAAAAAAAGCCAATTGAAAACAAAGCACAAATCAACAGAAATAACAGGTTGAAATGAAACTCCTTTGCTTTGCAGTCTTTTTCGTCTGAAGCTGTGTTTGGTCTTGTTTGTCTTTGTATGCCTGCTACAAGTTTTTAGCCGCCCTCGTGAGAGGGATGATCCTAATCCTTATGATCTTCATCGTGATGGTTTATTGCATAATCGTCACCTTCACAATGAATATTTCAATTCTTATCACTTTATTTCACTGCCCGAGCCCAATCTTGATACAAGATCGGGTTGGACCTCAGGTTGGACCTCAGGTTGGACCCCAGGTGAGAATGCACTTAACCGCATGCTGTATGGCCTGAAAAAAATTATAATGACTAGCTCCCAGTGGGCTTGTTAGCTTAGTTGCTAGAGCGCTGCACCGGTATCGCGGAGGTTATGGGTTCAAATCCCCGTACGGGCCTGAACTTTTCCAGGCCTTATTTCCACTACTACGTAAGTAGGGTTCATTACTGCGAGGATTGCTTTCATACAGACCATTAATATTTCTTAAACAATTAAGTTAAGAAGTTTCGTCATCTTTTGTCACTTAAGACCGATTAAGACTAAAAGAACGAAAAATATAAATTCGCGAATCTGGCTCTTTATATGTAAGTGAAACATGACCGTCTCAAATTTCGCGTGAACGAGCTCTGGATATTCTTCGGGATGCGTGAAACGCCCAAAAATATTTACGTGACTGACGGTTACAAAGGGGCGTATAGGGGACCTTCTTAATATATGTTCCACAGAATAGCGGCATTGAAACTACTTGGAGTTACTTTAAACTGCTGGGGTGATGTTGGTTGACCAGTTAGAGTTCACGTTTTGGCTATCGGTCGGTGCGAAATACAGTCTTAGCAGACTTCAGACTGTGGATTGCAGACTGTAGACCGGGTACACAATGCAGACTGAGAATTTCTGCTTTTCCGAGATCATCTTTCACTATCATTTGCTCCATAGAGGAGTAATCCTTTTCCCGTTTCCTCGTATAGCATGTTTTTAACAAAGCGGCCATTGTATTCGGTTTTTAGCAAAGCGGCCATAATCGTTTTAAGTAGAATTTCAAGCCCTCCTGTAGTCTTCTCACTGCGCGTGCGAGATGTCAGTATTGAAACAAATGACAGCTTTTGCGCATGGTCCGTACTCCTCGCCTTTTTAACCAATATGTGTAAGTGTTCATGTTGCTGACAAAGATCTGGACCGAGACCAAAAGTGTTCCTTTTACTTTATATATTCAATGTTCAGGGGTGTAAACACACTGATTTTCACTTATAAATATTTGCATTGTCCGACATTGACAGCGCGCAGTAAGAAGACTATGAAGGCTTAAAGTTGTATTTGAGAACGATGCTAGCCTGGACGCTTTGTTACAACCCCGAAAAAACAAAACAAAAGAAAAACAACAACAACAAAAAACAGGGAGCGGGCAAGGAATATTCCACAATAGTGCAAATGATCGTGAAAGATGATCGCGGAAAAGCGATTGCGTGACACTTGGTAAGTTGCAAAAAGACATGTTAGCAGTGAGGTACTCAGCACGCATCAGTCGAAAAAAACAGCTTAAATTCTCAGTGTGTATTTTGGACCCAGACTGCAGTCCGCATTTTGTACCCAGTCTACATTTTGCATCCGGTCTTCAGTCTGCATTTTGTACTGACCGTTTCTGAATATTCTTGTACGGTAATCTCGATGGTTCCTTTGCACGTCTACCGTTGACATATCGATTTGTTTACATTTAAGAGAGTGGCAAATTTGCATTTTCTGACCCTTCAGAGTAGTCGTTCTATGCTTTGCAATTTGGATGTATTGTACAATCCTCGGTGAAAGACGATACAAACAGGCAGTTGGGACTCAGTGAACGGTGACTGCAACCGCTCAATCGAGGTGACCGCTTAATAGAGATGAAAATTACAGTGATAAGGGGAAAAAATTTCGGAACTTTGACTACCTACCTCTTAAAACAGGGTGGCTGCTCTGTACGATACCGCTTAAAACAGGTTTGACAGTAGAAGTATATGACATCTGTTTTTAGAATCGTCATAGTAAAGAAATAGTATATTCGGTCCTCAGGTGTACTGAGTGAACCCCAGCTCTCCTGTAGCTAAGTCATTCAGGGCTGTTTTACTGTATGCTGCAAGATATGAAAGACATGATTGGTCAGTAAGCTTACCCATTGCAGCCGAAACCACAATGAAATTATCACGCTGTAGAATAAATAGAGAAAGTCCATAATTTATTGAAGTCCATTTTCTCTGCAGGGTTCGGTGGAACTACACGTCGCTGAAATCTGATTGGATGAATGAAATGTCTGTGGTATGAACCCAGAGCAACTGCAGAGAGCATAAAAAAAAAAATCATGACTTATTAATGAAACTTTAGAGATAGACGATAAGAAAATAGTTTCAGAGCATAAGTGAGGTAAATGTCAAAAGACGGTAGGACACTTGAATAACAAGGAAATCGTTGATATCATGTGTAAATTTATAGGAGAGGTTATTCACTTCCTGTCAGCAACAAGGAGGGAAGGCAAGGGGAGATATTGGTCTCCGTAGCACATTAGAGGTCAGCTTTCTGTGTCTATACAGGCTTCAGTAGCTTGATTTGGCCGATAGGTAACATGTTATTGTCATAGCTTTAGAGACAGCTGTGTGCAGTTAATTTTTGCTGCCTAAAACTAAGATTCGAATATTATAGCCAGTGTTTTTGAGTTGTCTCCTTATTCTTGTTGGAGTCGTCATCGCTGAAAAGGAAATGTTCTTTTTTTTCCTAGTCAGTTGTAGCTTAAAATCCATTATCAGTATGCAGTGAGCAAAGATAAATTTTCCGACATATTTTGTTTACATGAGCACCAAGTGTGATTTACCATGTATGATTTACCAAGTACGATTTACAACGTGTGATTGACTCAAGTGTGATTTTAAAAAAAATGTCACTTTCATGAAAATTTAGTGAGTACGCAAACTTTAAGCAGGTAACCTAGCTCCTTTAAGGGGCCATTTTCATGTAAATAAAAGTTTTGCTAAACTGAAATTAATGAGAGCTCCCTTTATTGCTTTTTCCCTCCAGTACAACGAATTCTCTGTCCCCATTTATTTAATTTTGAAGAGAGTGTGTAGTTCTTTCCAAAAAGTGGGAAGATTTCATCATAAAGGAAATTCTTTGGCGACAATCTTTAAACTGAAGTTCTTGTGCTAACATAAAAGCTGGGAGGTTTGAACTTGGGCTCGATAGCCAACCAATAAAACCTTTACTATCACCCGTAAATCCTCCCTTTGAGGAAGGTAATAAAACAAAATAATTTTTGGAGCTCAACTATTTCGCGAAGCCTTCAATTTTTTTGCCGAGTTAAAAACACAAATATCGAAAAGATCATTCGGGGTACTGTCAGGACCACGACCTAAACCGAGTTTTCTAACAAAAATTAGCTTATTCGTCCGATTGTGTTAACGTCTCGCGCTGTTGTAGGATTCTTTCTCTTTGGATTGTAAATACTACCTCACGCGCTCTTAGAATTCTCTTTCATTCGATTGTTACGTAGGTATCACGTGCATTGTTAGAGTTCTCTTCCTTGGATTGTCAAGGTCGCATCTTGCGCGCATTTAGGAATCTGATATCGGATTATTTCTTTGGTATCTCGTGCATTTTAGAGTTCTCTTCCTTGGATTGTCAATTGAATTGAATTGAATCTTTATTAAGTCATAAGATAAATAATCACATATCCTATGTTACAACATTAAAAGAAGGTATATATATAAATTACAGAGAAAATCAAGATAAAAATTATAAGACTAGATTATGTTTAAAAATTAAGCGATTGACAAACGTGTTTTTGAACCTATCAGTGTTTATTTTAGGATGGTGACTTGTCTCTTTCCTCAGATTGTACTTGGTTGATTTCTTTTTTGGCATTATAGCTCTTAAAGGGTGTATTGTATTATTAAAAACATTCTTGAAGATACGTGTGTCCTGTTGAACTAACAATTCATAAACATTAATGTGGTCGGATGTATACTTGCGCTTATAACATCGATCTAAGAAACATTGGATTGTTGTTAATTCGGAATTTACAGCGCCAAATACGGACAGCCCGTATAATATATTTGGTAGAACCAGATTTAGAAACAGATGGTCTATTTCGGCCTGATTGTACCCTTCTTTCCTTAAAGATCTTAAAATGAACAGGCACTTGTTTGCTTTGATTAGTTTTTCCCGAATATGTGTTATGAACCTACTGTCTTCCTGAAATGTTACCCCTAAAATAGTAAGCTCTTTTGTCTGTGGTATTCCAGACACCATCGGAAACTCTATTGTACAACCTTTCTTGCGGAAAATGATTTCCTTGCACTTAGATGGATTGCTACACATACCATTACTTCTAGACCACTGGGAAAACTGATTAATCAGTGCGATAGAATTGTCATTATCACCTATCACAGGCGAGATAATGGTTGTATCATCTGCATATTTTACCAGCACGCTCTTATTGTCCAAGTGTATCTCTAAATCACTGAGAAAGACATTGAACAAGTGCGGCCCGCTGACACTTCCTTGGGTGGTACCTTTGTTGACACTTTTCCATTTTCCAATAAACCCATTTCTAATGACTCTCTGCTGCCTGTCTTCCAAAAAGCTTAGATACCAGTTAACTATAAAAGGATTTAGGGGGAGTTGCTTCAATTTGTGTGAGAGGAGATCGTGTTTCACACTATCAAAAGCCTTGCTGAAATCCATAGCGAATAGGCGTACCGCTTTGCACTCTGGGATATCAAGATATTGATTGACAGTATGTTGGATAGTCAGTAGAGCATTGGTACAGCTCCCTCCCTCTATGTATGCAAACTGTGAGATCCCAGAATGTTTATCGAAGGTCTCCCTTGCGTGTGTTCCTNAGTCCAACCACCGCACGCACTCTGTTCTTAGTTTTTGAGAGACTGCAAATATTGATGAACATACACTTGGGAACGGCAAACTCCGAGCAATCGGTAGATGATTTAGTAGGCTCTCGAGGAATAGCTGTAAGATATCTGTTCTTAGCGGGATCTTGGATGCGATAAGGTCTAGCAAACCGCCGGGTTTTAACAACTTCAATGGGTCGACATCTGTCGGAGTGTTGCGATGCAGAGATATTTTTAGTAATTTTCCCCAATCTTCGTAATCCCGGACCTCTGTATTTCAGAATTCCCAGGGATTTAAGGGTATCGAAAACATGAGGCGCAGGTCGGCCCGCCGAACGTCTCAGCGAAAGTAGCCTGTCACGATTGTGAGAGCAATGGATTCTGACTGACCCAATTGCAGGTTGACAAGCAGAGTCCGAGGAGTTGGAGCTCTGTTTTCGTTTACCGTGGTCATTATCCACTTCTTCAGGTCCAGGATGTGGATGGACATCCATATTAACAGTAATGTCGAGCACAACAAACTTCTCAGGGGCGGCCAGGAAGACCATGCCTCGACTGTCCCATTTCACCATAGCCCTTCTTACCCGGAGATTTCGAGACCGGGATACTCTCAGCTCAAATCTAGCCATCCAACTAATGCATCTTGATGTTAAAGATTGATTTCGATAAGCTCTTTCGACTGTTATCATAGTTATGAAGGTAAAAATATAGAAAACTGCAAGAGCTCTAAAGAGCGTGGCAGCCATATTGGCATGCATATATTAATGCATCTTGCGCGCATTTAGGACTCTTATATCGGATTATCTCTTTGGTATCCCGTACATTTATTTATTTATTTATTTTTTTATTTTCTTTCATTCGATTATTAGGTTAACATCTGGCGCACGTTTAGGATTCTGTTTCATCCGATAGTTACTTTAGTAGCTCGTGCACCTTTACTATTGTTAAACGATGAAAAATACAACTATATTTAATCTGAAATATGCTAGGGGTTTCCTTGTATAGGACTCTTATAAATCACTTATCAGTGAAATTGATATCCTCAATAAAGATTATTATTATTCATTATTGGTGTCGGGAAAAGGAAGGGAAATATTATATTACTTTAAGCCATTCGATGTAAGGAATTATAAGAAGGCAGTTTGATTACTTCTTATTCCTTTTGGAAGTCTTTAAGGTAGAGTTTGGTCACGTTTTCTTCGTGGTGTTCGTGAAGTTGACATGGAGACATTTGTTCAGTTCCTACGGTGATTGGAGCTCGTGATGGTGTCTTGGGAAAGTCGTCATTAGTTAAGTTAATTTGTAAGTCTAGGAACGGAAAATCTCTGTGGTAAAAGGTCACGTTCGACTCATCTCGTTCTTAGAGGTGACTTAAGATGTAAACATGTGATAACCTTCATGTTTCGTAACTAGATAGTTACTATGGTTAGCAGGTGGCAACTTGGGGGTGGTACTTGTGAGCCCCCCTTCTTATTCAATTTTTGTGATCATGATGTTGTTATGTAACCCGGTCTTCTAAGGTAATTTTTCTTAACAAACCCTTTCAAGTGTGAATAATATTTTGTGAATAGGTTAGTTGTGATTTTTATATTACCAATCTCGTCTCTGGTCTTGCCGATCTCAACTGTAAGAATAAGAAATTTAAGCTAGAAAATTATTTTGTAACTGCGCAAATAACTCTAAGGCGCATACCGAGTAAGTAGGAACTGTCATACGTAATCTAACATGATTCGCTAGCTGATATGGAACGATGACGATACATAAAGATTGACAGCTTAATAGTGCCACTTGAAGTGACACCTTTATAAACGGTGACCTTTGCTTTCCTCATTAGTTAGATAGAAGCTAGTCCCCGTTGCAACAAATTGAAGAGAAAAGAGATTAAAGAACGAAGGATCAACTGAACAAACGACGAGTGTTAGAGATTTTTACCTCTAACAGTATTATCGCTCATTAATTATAACGTACGTATGTCTTGCATTTTTAGAATTCTCTCCCTTGTGATTGCTACGTGTCAATATCTCAGTATCTCTTGCACTGTTAGGATTCTCTTTCATTGGACTGTTACATTAGCATCTCATGCACTTGAAGGATTCTCTTTCAGAGGATTGTTAGGTTTTTATACTTGGTATCCTACGCGCTTTTAGGATTCTCAGTTTTTGGTTTGTTACGTTAGTATCTCGCACACTTTTAGGATTCTATTTTACTGGATTGTTACCTTGGTATCTCGTGCAATTTAGGATACTCATCTATTCGTAAGATGTTTTTAAATAAATTACAAATAGATAAATAGATACTCAAAAGTATCTCGGGTACTCTTAAGATTTTCTTTCATCGGATTGTTAATTTAGTATCTCTCCCACTCTAAGGATTCTTATTCATTCAATTGGAACGTTAGTCTTTTGCTTACTTTCATTATTTTTAACTTAAAAGAAATATAAAAAGTCGCCCGTCATTAATAATGTAGCTAAACATTCTAGCTAGCGATAGCTTGCAGGACACTCGACACAATCTAAACGTGAGTTGTCGAACGACATGAATGGTGCGCAGTGGTGTGTATAAGGAGAAGTCACCAGCGAAGCCAGCGAGTTATCAATATTAAAGTATTGTGTTCAATTTCAAGCGAAAATCGGTGATGTAAGACAAAACAGACTTGTAGACTATATTTGTATAAAATATAAAAGAAACACTCGAAAACAAAAGAGATATTTTTAAGCATATCATTGAAGAATATTTTTCGCTATCCACCTCTGAGCAACACGCTAGGGATTTGCAACGGAAATATGCTAAAGGTCGCAGGCTACAGCATATCATTGCTAAGTACATGTACACTATTGTAGCTCTACTTTTTTTAGTTCTTATTGTTTTGGTCACTTCAAAATATCATATTTGCACTCGTGTTCTTACATTACAACAAATTTCGGAGAAAAGCGGCTTAAAATCTAACGAAACCTATCGCGCTGAAACAAAGCAGACACCCATTCCAAAATCTCCATCACAGCATTCAGCAGCCAAATTGGAAATTAAAAAATCAGTTCGGCCAAAAGAACAACGCTTGAAACACCCAAAGAGGTTCTTCCAAGTGAATTTGATTTAGATTCCTCATTAGAACAGCTGTTTGAAAGGAGATGGTGTGTTAGCCAGTAATCTTGCAACGGAAGATGAACAACAGGATGTAAAACCACTTTACAAGATCCACTGATTGTCCCTCAAGAACAATCATGAAATACTATCCCAAGAAACTACGTCTATACTACATCAAATCGAAGAGTCGTTGTGAAATTATACTGATCGAAGCCAAGAAAGTATTACTTAACGCCATATAAACCATGTAAGTGAAAAAACACTCCAACTAACTTCTATTTTCAACACACTACTGCGAAAACTTCAAAACTAGTTTCGTCTACGACCTCATCAGTTGATGACAAACAAAAACTAAAAATTTGAAAAATTTTTTGAAAAAAAAAAAAAAAATTGAAAATTTTTAGTTTTTGTTTGTCATCAACTGACGAGGTCGTAGACGAAACTAGTTTTGAAGTTTTCGCAGTAGTGTGTTGAAAATAGAAGTTAGTTGGAGTGTTTTTTCACTTACATGGTTTATATGGCGTTAAGTAATACTTTCTTGGCTTCGATCAGTATAATTTCACAACGACTCTTCGATTTGATGTAGTATAGACGTAGTTTCTTGGGATAGTATTTCATGATTGTTCTTGAGGGACAATCAGTGGATCTTGTAAAGTGGTTTTACATCCTGTTGTTCATCTTCCGTTGCAAGATTACTGGCTAACACACCATCTCCTTTCAAACAGCTGTTCTAATGAGGAATCTAAATCAAATTCACTTGGAAGAACCTCTTTGGGTGTTTCAAGCGTTGTTCTTTTGGCCGAACTGATTTTTTAATTTCCAATTTGGCTGCTGAATGCTGTGATGGAGATTTTGGAATGGGTGTCTGCTTTGTTTCAGCGCGATAGGTTTCGTTAGATTTTAAGCCGCTTTCCTCCGAAATTTGTTGTAATGTAAGAACAGGAGTGCAAAAATGATATTTTGAAGTGACCAAAACAATAAGAACTAAAAAAAGTAGAGCTACAATAGTGTACATGTACTTAGCAATGATATGCTGTAGCCTGCGACCTTTAGCATATTTCCGTTGCAAATCCCTTGCGTGTTGCTCAGAGGTGGATAGCGAAAAATATTCTTCAATGATATGCTTAAAAATATCTCTTTTGTTTTCGAGTGTTTCTTTTATATTTTATACAAATATAGTCTACAAGTCTGTTTTGTCTTACATCACCGATTTTCGCTTGAAATTGAACACAATACTTTAATATTGATAACTCGCTGGCTTCGCTGGTGACNTCATTAAACTAAATTAAATTTTACAACCAGTCTGTAGGTTTTGAGACTTTAATTTCTCTTCTCTTTTTTTAATTTTTTCTCACCAAAGAGGGAGAAGGACTGTCGATTTGGTTGAAAAATGTTTTGACCTCGTTTTACCTATAGCGCCATACTTTGTTTCCATGAAACTTTTTTTCCCATAGGAGATACTGAAAGTGGGTTGGATGGGGGAGGGGGGCAATAAAAGATCCAAGGGGAAGGTGGAATCTAACTTTAAGCTAAAAGGTATGTCCATATTTCCCTACAGATCAAAAACTCCATAATGAAAAGTGTGTCAAGTATTGAAGTAAGTAATTTACAATCCTTGACTCAAGTGACGTCTGTGATCGCACGAGCGACACTGGAACCTAGCGAAGTGACCTCTGATACGCAGGTATGTAAGTGCTTAACGATCCAATTCTGAACGATGCTCTACAGTTAAATGTTAAACGAACTTCACCAAGAAGTGTTATTGTCTCAATTATATGATTTCCTGAAAGGAGAAGAGACTGTAACACTTCTGAAAACAATCATCCATCTATCTTTTAGGATCTTGCTCTGCAAGCCTTAAAATCTATGACGTCATTGTTACGAAGCAAGACCAATGAAGATTATGGTTCAGAGTCCGTCCTAGTTGAACAAGGTGGGGAAAACTTGGTACTGAGTCTGGGTAACATTCTTAACTCTGCTTCTCAGAAGGCGAGTGTGATCGATAAAAAAGCGGAGACATCGGAAACGCAGTCCAAGGTGAATACCTCGTGTTATTGTTTACAGACTATTTTTAGATGAATTCATCCAATCGATCATTGTTTCCTGGGTTCCTTTTTCTCTGAGTTCCTTTTCTGGGTTTCTTCCGTTGTTTCGTTTTGCAGCCTTTTTAGATATTTTTGCGTCCCCTCGTTTATGAACTCATTCATTTAGAAAGTTTCCATCTATTTGTTGATCCACTTATCCATCCATCGAGATTTAATCTTTCATTTATTGCTTCGTTCATTCTCATCGCATCTCATCTTTCCTTTCCCTTTTTCTTTTTCTCACGATGCTTGTCTCGGACCTCGCTTCTCACGCGAGGTCCGAGATACAAAAAAAATACTACTGTTCAATCTCTTTTTTCGTTTTAACAGAGTGAAAACGTCTCCAAAGACACAGCGAAACTTATTGATGATGTAAGCGTTGCACTCCTATCCAAAATGCTCGTGGATCAGGAGCCTAACCGCGTACAAACACAGTCCTTGAGTATGGTACTTAACAGACTCAGTCCCAGATCATTGGAAACAGCAACAAATTTTACAGACGATCCTTCTGTAGGGGAGTTCAAATTTGCCTTCAGCGCCATAACCGATGAGAAAGCGAGAGATGCTGAGTATATCGACAGTGTGGTAACAAAATCGAGATTTTCCACTAGTTTTGAATTTTTTAAACTTCTATGGCTTACTTCTGAGGTTCTTAAAAATAATTGGTACCTTTCCCATCTCATAAAAAAAAATGTCACAAGAAAATGTTCATCAATATTTTCTGGTATCGACTGCCATTAGCAGTTCTGGAAAGTCAGCATTAGGTAGGAGGTGGAGAGAGAGAGAGAGAGAGAGA